CCCTAGTCGAGGAGACCAGAATAAAGCCATGCTGTGAGTGTGTGTGTGAGTGTGTGTGTGAGAGAGAGAGAGAGAGAGGAGAGAGACCCAAAGCCAGGGAGACATACTAGGAGAAAAGAGAAAGGGGCAGGGGAAAAAGAAAAAGGCGAAACAGAAGAAAAATGAGAGAGAGAGAGAGCTACGCTGTACCACAGAAGCCATGACTGTCTCCACCATGTCAAAGTGTTAAAGTGTCCTCCCAACCACCATGAGAAAAAAAGAAGAGAGCAACTTCTCTCCCCGAGGAAGCTCCTATCAGGAGGAGCTGGGGTTGCAATATTCGTGTTACTGAGTGGACCAGGATCTGCAGCCTCCATCCCCAGTTCGGACTAACCTGCCAGCCCCTCCAATCCTAATTATGTAGGCCCATCCTTCCTCCTCAGTTTCATACATAAGGTTGAAGAAAAGATGCCATCATGACCTCTGTTGCCAACTCACCATGTCTGGTGATGGAGTACTTGCATCCAGTGCGCCTGTGGGTGGCCTCTGTGAAGAGGCCACGTACTTTTCCCATCCCCAGGTTGGAGAGTCATATAAAATCACTCTTGGCCCAAGTTCAAAGTCAACCAGCATGCCCACCAGTGGAGCAGCCTAGAGGCTCCTTCCTCCTCCAAGGATATCCATTCCCTTCCAGGGCCCAGTAGACACAAGTGGCCACAAGTCCCAGCCCCCAGTTGTACTGAAGAGAGTCCCATCCCAGAGACACTTGCTGTTCCCAGCCCAGATCCCCAGGTCCTTGGCTGCAGGCCTCAGAGGGCTCCTAGAGCTTAACAGCTCCACCAGTCACCCTGTGGACTTCCCTCCAGGTCATGCAAGACTCCAGACCAGGTTCCTCCACTGCCTTTGTCTTGACTCCAGAGAACATGAGTCAAACAAGTCCTTGGGCCCCTGCACACTCCTCACAGCTGCTTTGTTGGGGCACTTTCAGACTCCAGTACCTTCCTGCCCAGCAGGGGCCCCTTAGCAGGACTAGCAGGTGAGCTCGGGAATTTATACCCCAGCACTTCCACCCCCAGCTCTGACAATGTGAATCCACCCACACCCTGGGTGAGGGTCTTTCAGACCTGCTGACTCCCTCTGGAGAAGACTGCCTCCTCCTCTAGTCTTTGAGGCTCAAAGACAACTCCAACTCTTACTGTATCTGTATTACACACAGTAGGGGCATGATAGGTTCCTGGATGGGGCCAGTCCTACAACCAGCTGGTTAAGGGAAGCTAGATCCCACATGATCCACCCAGTTCAGCCCTGGAAGACTTAAAAACACACTGGGTGCGTGTGTGTGTGCCCAAAGTTCTGATGGAATGGAGAAATGAAGAAGGGATTGCAGTACCATCACATCTCACTGAGGGGTGCCTTCTCTCTCTCCCTATCTCTGTCTCTCTCTGGCAAGCACACACACACTGACTAGCAACAACAACAAAATTCCTGGATGGATGACAAGTTCTGATTTCTGGTATTCTAGAAACCATTTTTTAAAAAAGAATGATTTATTCTTCAATTTTACCAGAGAGAGAGCCGCTAGGTCTAGGACTCAAATCACAGTCATGTGGGAGTCCAACACCTTGACCACCACACCACCTGCCAGCCCCAGAAACCATATTTCTTTAAATCCTCTTTTAACCCAACTTCAATGCAGCACAGCCTCTTTCTACCATTTCAGCCACCAGATCCATGGGACCCCTTCTTGTTTCCAGATCAGAGAGGGTGCTGGGCTTCTCCTCCACAACCCCCAAAATTACTGCACTGGACTCCTAGGGCTCTATGACAAAACACCATAAACTGGGCAGCTTAAAGCAACAGAAACATTCTCTCACAGTTCAGGAGTCCGGAAGTCTGAAAGCAAGCTGTCGGCAGGGCCACGTTGCCTCTGGAGACTCTGTTCTTTGCCTCTTTCAAATTCTGGTGGACGTTGGCATCCTTCCCTTCTGGCCACATCACCCTAATCACTGGCTTTCTCTTCTGTGTGTGTCAAATAGCTTCTTGCCTCCCTCTTACAAGGGTACAAGTGATTGCATTTAGGGCCCACCTGGATAACCCAAGTTAAGCTGCCCATTTTGAGAGCTTTAGTCACTCTGCCAAGCCCTTTTTTGCCATATAACGTCACATTCACAGGTTCCAGGGATTAAGACCTAGCTCTATCTGGGGGCCATTATTTAGCCTGATATATCTGGCCACACAGAAACTAGATGCAGGAAGATCTAAATACCTCCCAGCTGTACATTATTTCTGCCATTCTTGGTGTGCTGACTTGATCCCTAGACTGCTTTTTCTAATGGTCACAAAATAGCTGCCACTGTTCCAGATACCACATGTGGTCTCAATGAACTCTAGGGTAAAAGAGAACCATCGTGTCCTTGCCTCTGTCTTAAAAATAAGAAAACCTTACCCAGAAATCCCTTAGAACTCCTTTCATACTTTCTTGGTCCTAGCAGGTCACATGTCCCTTCTTAAACCAATCACTACAAAGAGAATGGGGTTATCAACGCCATCTTCCCCTGTCAGGATTCATTTCCTGGGATGGGAAAGTCCATAAACCTACATCAAGAAGGATAGACACCTGCTGGGAAGGAGGATGGAAGAGCAGGTGTTGTGTAGGCAACCTAGAGCCCTTACAGCAGCTTCTCTTCCCAGATCTCCTGCCACTTTGACCACACTATCTCGATGTCTCTTCCTCTGAAAGTATTTTGAACTTTCTTTTTAGAGACTTTTTATTAAGAATTATTTTATTTATCTTTATTTATTTTAGTTTGACCAGTGAGAGAGAGAGAGGGAAAGTGAGAAAGTAAGCTGCCAAGTCTGGGACTTGAACCATGGTTGTCCATGTGGGAGTCCAGTGCCCTTAATCACCATGCCACCTGCCAGCCCCTTTAGAGGGATTTTTTTCCTATAGGGTACATGTACTCGCCAGAGAGACAGAAAGCAAAAAATCAGCCCCAGGGGGGATGGCCACACCGAAATCCCTTCTCCATTCTCCTCTCAGGATCTTGGGTGCACACACACACACACACACACACACACACACATGCTCAGCATGAGTTTTAAGTTGCCAGGTCCAAGACTTGAACCATAGTCGATTATGTGGGTGTTCAGCAACATAACCACTACACCATCTGCTGGCTCCAGTATTTAGAACTTTATTTCCCTGCAGGTTTTCTCCCAGGCTTCTGGTCTCACTCCACACCCTTTCCCTAGCAATCTCATTCACCCCTATGGTTTTAATTTCCGTGTATATGCTCAGGAGTCCAAATCTGCACCTCCTGTTCTGACCTCTCTCATGCGCTTTAGTCTAAAATATTAAACTGTCTGCTGCTGACATGAAGTCCCGAGAGATCCTCCAACTCAACATGTCTACAAGAGAACGAATCTCGCCCTTCCTCCCCAGCTTCCTCAAAGTTGTTCTTCCTCTGTGCTTGTAGTTTGGGTCAGGGGAGTCACCTACTACTCCTTCTACCACATCGAATTAGTCATCGGGCCCTGTCCAGCCAGAAATCTCTAATTCACCCATCCCACCATTCTCACAGCTATTGCATGGGTTAGGCCTTATCATTTGTCTCCTTCGAACTCTGGTCTGAGAGCCCTCAGCCCACTGTCCATAGCCCTCAGGACCGTCTTTGCAAATCACAGGGCTCCTTCTGCCCCTCCTTATCCACACTCAGCCTCTGACAGTGCACACCGGACCTTCCAGAAGCAGCCTGCCTCTGCTGCACCCTCATCTCAGCTTGTTTTCCCTCACTCCAAATTCCAGTAACACTGGAAGCCACCTCTGAGCATTTGCACATGCGCTGTTTCCTCTGCCTAGAACAGCCTGCAGGATGAGTTCCCCACAAGAACACCCCGGGAGCCAAGGACCAGGGCCTGGGTGAGGATGGACTCTTCTCCTTCAAGAGCTCAGTCATGGAGGTGGCTTTGGCAGGGCAAGTGAGGGCTGCTGGAGGCTGAGTCTCTAAAAGCTGAAGGGGAACCAGCAGTTAGCGTAATGGCTATGTCGCTGGATTCCCACGTAGTCGACCGCGGTTCGTGTCCCGGACCCGGTGGCTTAAAACTCACGCCGGGCGCGTGTGCGTGCGTGCCCAAGATCCCGAGAGGAGAATGGAGGAGAAGGGATTGCGGCGTGACCATCCCCCCTGGGGGGTGATTTCTCGCTTTCTGTCTCTATGTCTCTCTCTGTCTGTCTGGCGAGCGCACGCGCCCTACAGTGAAAATCTCTCCAAAAAATAAAAAATAAAAAAAAATTAAAAAAAGCTGAAGGAGGTCCTTATGTTTCCCATAGTACATGTGAGCACGATGGCTTGCCATGAACCAGTCTTCTATTGATCTTGTCCCAAATCAGAAGTGTTTAGGAATTTTGTCTTCTTCCCCATCAGACTTCCTGGTGAGGCAGTGACCCAGCTTTTTCCATGTTTGTACTTCCATTGTCGTTGGGAGAAGCCAAACAGTGGCCCCCCAGTTCTTAACACCGGGTACTTGTGAATGCACCTTATACAAAAAAGGAGAGGGGTTTGAGGTGGGATTAAAGTATTTTTAAAGAATTATTTTATTTAACTTTTTATTTATTATTATTTTCCAATTTTGATCAGAGAGAGATGGGGTGGGGTGGGGGAATGAGATAGCAAGCCACCAGGTCCGGCACTCAAAGCACAGTTGCTCATGTGGGAATCCAGCGACTTTAACCACCACACCATCTGCCGGCCCCAGGGGATTAAAGATTTTTTAAAGAACATTTCTTTTAAAATGAAAATCCCTTCCATGACAGAGAGCAATAGAGAAAGAAAGACAGACAATACCTCCAACAGGGTCTTCATGCCACAATCCATCCTCAGCCTAAGCCAGCCCTGGATCATAGGAGTGTGGGCACCTGGAATGTTCAGGGAAGTCTCCAGATGCAAACCCAGAACCTTCCTATGTGGGTCAGCCTCACAGAGCATTGCATCACCTCCATACATTACCTCTTCCTTCCTCAGGAACATTGTCCATGCAATTAGAAGGGAGGCAGCCGGATTTGACACACGGAAAGCGAGGAGGCAGAGATTGTGGCTGCAGCCAAGGAATGCCACCACCACCAGAGGCTGGGAAAACCAGATCCCCCACTGGAGCCTCCAGAAGGAATGTAACCTGCCAACACTTTGACTTTGGCTAAGCAATACTGATTTCAGACTTCTGACCTCTGAAAACTGTGTGAGAATAAATGTCTAGTGTTTTAAGCCACCTGGATTTTGGCACACCACAGGAAACTAATTCAGTGAACGACCTCGTAGGATGAATTTCTATTTATTCACTCGACAAGCACTTACCAAGTGGCTCCTATATGCCATGCCAGGCACTGTAGTAGGTACTGAGATGCAGGACAGGACAGGCCCTGCCCTACACAGCTGCAGTCCAGCTGGGTGTTGAGGCCCTAAAGGTTTGTAAGTTACCCCCTTCCAGAGTCATGCTCCAAGGAATTGCACTGCAGGAAGAGGAGAGAATGGTCACTGTAAGTTACCCCCTTCAGGGCCAGATGGTGGCACAGGAGCAACTAGACCCACATAGCAACACCCTGACGCTTCCATCTACACCCCAGGCATGCACCAGTGTGCCTGTGATTAGGCTGGCTAAAGCCGGGGGTGGATCACAGCATGAAGACCCTGTTCAGGGTGCCTATCTCTCTACCTCTGTGTCTCGCTGTCTCTCTCATGGAAGAAATAAACTTTTTTTAAAATGAGCCTTTTAAAGCCAACCTTGATAAAGCCACATAGGTCCAGCCATGGTAGCACACAGACAGTGCCACTGCTTGGGAGGCTGGGAGAGACATGGGCAGACCTGGGTTTAGTTTCCCAGGTCAACCAGAACACACTGGGAGTAGTGGTGCCTGCTTGTAATTCTAGCTAACTGGGCCTGGAGAATTGTTACATGGCAAGACACAGAAATGCCTGTCCTTGCCTCTCTTCCTTTCTCTCTCCCTCTTTCTTTCTCTCACTCAAAAATGGGGGCGGGATGAGATGGAAGGAGTACAGACCTCCATAAAATAGTGGCAATTCCTACACAAGTTATAAAATAGTATATACATGGGGGCCAGCAGGCGGTATAGTGGTTAAAGTGCCGGACTCTCATAGGGCCAGACCCAGTTTGAGTTCTGGACCCAAAAGCTTGAAACTCACACCTGGCATGTGTGCATGCATGCCCAAAATCCCCAGAAGAGAAGGGAGAAGGAATTGCAGTGTGGCCATACGCCTGGGGGATGATTTCTCACTTTTTCTCTTTCTGTGTTTGTCTCTCCAGCGAGCACATGCACCATATAGCGAAAATCTGTCTCTTAAAAAAAAAGAATACTATATACTTGTGAGTGCATATGTCATTTCAGGGAAAACACAAAACTATCTTGATTCCAGCTGCACCCCAGAAAGCCTGCTGCTCTGCGGGGACAGTGCAGGTCAGAGGGACCTGGTGGGAAACTCGAGCACACTATAGTTCTCCCCCTTGGGGAGATGCAGGCTCCTGCAGAGAGGGCCAGGTGCAGCGTCCACAACCTGGGGAAGTCCGCTCAGGGAAAGCGTCTGGAGAGAGTGGCTTCTCAGCGTTAACCTGGAGACCGCATGTAATTTACGCCAGCGCTCAAGTGAGGTCATGACTCTGGGCGACAGCTTGCTTTAGATGAGTTGAAACATGCCGGACCTCGAGATGCCATGCTCCAGCAAGCAGCGTGCTTTCCCATGCGTGAGTTAGTCACATCAGGCGGGCAGTGACCTCAGTAACCGCCCGTGTCAGGCACCCCAGAACAGCCATCTCCAAAGCTCCTTAAGCTCCCAAGCTCCACCCTGGCATTACCAACTACCTGATTCTGCAAAATATCTACTGATCTTGGCCACAGGACTGGCTCTGTCTGAACCACCCTGGAGGAAGAGGAAGGGCAGGGCAGGGTGAGGGAAGAGGGCAGGACCATCCACATTCTGCTCCTGCTCCCTCGTTTATGACCATGGAGAGTCCCAGCCTCCATGCCTCCCACTTCTCAGATACCTAACAACACCCTTCTCACTACTGCTTTTGAGAATTAAATGAAACAACTGCCAGAAATACCTTTTCAAAAATGTTAGGTGCTGGAACCAGCAGTTGGTGTGGTTGTTAAGGTGCTAGACTCCCACGTAGCCAACCTCAGTCTTAGTCCCAGACCCAGCAGCTTGAAAATCACTGCAGGCACGTGTGTAAGAGTGTCCAAAACCCCAAGAGGGGACTGGAGGAGAAGGGAATTTGGAATAGCCATTTCCCTGGGAGGTGATTTCTCATTTTCCTCTTACTGTCTCTCTGTGTCTCTCTCCAGTGAGTACACATAGCCTATGGCAAAAATCCTTTAAAAAAAAAAAAAGTTAGGTGCTAAATGAAGGCCCAGTGATGTTTTTAATCACTGGCATTATTCAGTTGCCTCTGGAAACAATGAACTCTACAAATTCTACATTGTTTTTGCAGGCTACCAAAAAAAAAAAAAAAAAAACTTTCTCTAGGGCCAGAAGCTGCCATGGAAGTGAAGATGCTGGATCCCATAAGGCTTATTTTGTGGTTTGAGTCCCAGGCCTGGCAGCAGAAAAATCACTCCTGGTACATGTGCATGTGTGCCCAAAATCCTGAGAGGAGACTGGAGGGGAAAGGATTGCCACGTGGCCATCCCCCCGGGGGTGATTTCTCACTCTTTCTCTCTGGCAAGTGCATGCACCCTATAGCAAACTCAAACAAAATAAAGCAAATGAAAACTTTCTCAAAATTGTGATTCAGTAGCTACAACTGAATGTAAGCTGATTCCCCTGCCTACTCACCCACCTCCACCCACCCTAAGTTCATAGCTCCATGCAAGTTTTAAGAGTACAGCACTTCACAGGAAAGAATTTACCTTACCTGGGTCCAGTTGCTGAGGCAGTGGTGATGCAAGTGCAGTGCAGGGCTGGAAGCTTCGAGGCTGATCATGAGTTCAGATCTTCAGGTTATCTTGAAAATATGCTAGGCATGCATGTGGGCACCCAGGATCCTGAGGAGTCGGAGGGCTGGGGATGGGAATAGGCATGATAAGACCCTTTTCAAAATGGTTTCTCTCTTTCTCCCTCTTCCTCTCTCATGCTCTCTCCATGCACACACTTCCTATCACAAAAAAAAAAAAAAAAAAAAAAAAAAAAAAATTAAAAAGCATTGATCTTACCCAAAGAAATGTCTGACCATTGCGATTGGCTTCTAGGTGGTATCTCAAAGGCCTTGGAATGTCCTGCCTGATCAGTGTCTTCGTTTGCCTGGAAGGTCTGGGACCACACTGGACAGTGTAACAATGTGGTTTATGGTGGGGGCTGTAAGCCATGTTACATCAGCTCAGCCTCACCAGGGCTGAAGAGGAAAGGTCAGTCACAGTAGTAATCTACTCTGTTTGTCTGAACCCCAGGAAACACTCTGGGCTCTAGGACTCAGGTAAGCTCCGTAAGTGGCAACGCTCATGTGTTGTGTCACATATCATTGCCAGAAAAAGTTGATGGTGCCCATGTCTGCAGGGAGAAGACAACTGAAGCTTTACTGCTAGAACTTTCTGCTCCACGCGTCTCTTCTCTTGGCTCCTTTTCCTTCACTTGGATGAATTATAACTATCTAGTATAATAGCTTTTGTTTGATTCTGTAAGTCCTTCTAGTGATATCTCAAAACTGAATAGGATCTTGGGTCCCCCCCAGAACTTATTTACAATGGGTATGAGAAATGAGGGTGGTCTTGCACCAGCTGGTGGTGTAGTGATGAAGGTGGCTGGATCCCATATGACCAATTGCACAGTTCAAGAAGTAAAGGTGGCCTTGGAGAGCTTCCTCTCCATCAGCAAATTCTTTTTATTACTTTTTTTAAATAGTTTTTTTATTGAGATAAAGTGCAGAAGTATGGTGTCCGGCCCTGCCCTGTGATCATGGCACAGGAAAAGGAAGATGTCAGAGATTACAGTTTGACTGAGGAGCAGAAGGCAGTCAAGGCCAAGTACCCTCCAGTCTGTCGGAAGAATGAATATTTGGATCATACAGCAGAGGTCCAGTTACACATGTGGGGAGATTCCCTGGAGGAAGCATTTGGGCAATGTGTGATGGCCGTGTTTGGCTACATGACAGATACTGGGGCTGGAGAACCCCCAAAACAGGAGCAGTAGAAACCCAAGGAGATGACTGACTTCTGTTTCGCTTTTTGAATGAGTAGCTTTACAAGTTTAGTGCTGATGAATTCTTTTTTTTTATTTACTTTTATTCATTTATTCATTCATTTTATTTTGATTTGACCAGAGAGAGACACAGAGAGAAAGAGAAGGAAAGTGAGAAAGCAAGCCATCAGGTCCAGGACTTGAATCGTGGTCAGCCATGTGGGAGTGTCCAGCATCTTAACCACCACGCCACCTGCTGGTCTCTAGTGCTGATGAATTCTTCATACTCCGGGAAGTGGAAGTACTTAATAGTGATCAGAAAAATTTCAAATTATGGTCCATTGGGTGGGGAGAAGAATTTTCATTGTCCAAGCATCCTTACATATTCAGCCATGCAGATCTATAATGAAGAGAAGCCAGAAGTTTTTGTGATCATCGACATATAAGACACCAGGCAGGAGAATAAGAAAACAGTCTCCTATGAAGGAAGGCTTCTCTCTCTCTCTCTCTCTCTCTCTCTCCCTCTCCCTCTCCCTCTCCCTCTCCCTCTCCCTCTCCCTCTCTCTCTCTTTTTTTTTTTTTTTAGAAAATACCATGATTTAAATTCTACAGTATCTGTTGGTAGATGGAAATTCAGAACAGAAGTTAAGTGTGACTTTCAGAAATGGAAAATCAGGGCACAGCTGTGGTCCATGATTCCTCTGCATTCAGACTTTAAACACGTCTCAAGGGGCAATTACAGCTCCTCAATTATAAATTCCCTACGATGGGCACAGGTGCCTACTGGCCTCCCAGTACGCTTTAGCCTTTCAGGAGGGTACCAGAAATGTAAGCAGCAGCCAAGGCCTGAATCCAGTTTGAAAAAGGATAATTTACAAAAATACATGTTTACACCTGGAAAAAAAGAAAGAAAGAAAAAAGAATTATTTTATTTAACTTTATTTATTTATTTTAATTTGACCAGAGAGGGACAGAGAGAGAGAGAGAGAAAAGCCAGGTCTCCAGGTCTAGGACTTGAACCACAGTTAGCTGTGTGGGAATCAAGCACCTTTAACCATCACACCATGCCAGCCCCCACATTCTGTAAATTCTTAACCTTTTTGTCATGGACTCCTTTAACAGTCTGGTGAAGCTTATGGACCTTTTCTGAAAATAATGTTCTTAAATATATAAAATAAAATATATAGTATTCAAAGGAAATCAATTATGTTGAAATGTAAGTATCAAAAGATGCGCTTCAGGGCAGGCAGGTGGCATGGTTAAGGTACTGGACTCCCACATGGCTGGCCACAGCTTGAACCCTGAACCTGACAGCTTGCTTTCTCACTTTCTCTCTCTCTGTCTCTCTCCAGTCAAATTGAAATAATAATGATAAATAAAATTAAATAAATAATTCT